TTTTTTTTTGTAAAATTGGGCAGAAAGACCACGGTCGATAGCCTGTTGGGAAACCAATAAAGATGTTTATTATTATTATTATTAAATCGTAGTAAAAGACCCGTGCATAGCGTATGCATATGCAAAACTGTGAATTTGAATCTGGTTCGCACGTTACGTCACATCCGCGGAGTCAACGAGTTTTCGTTTCATAACCAGCATACCAGTTTTTGTGTATCGTGGTATTACCCTAGCCCGAAGTTCTTGCGCAGTAGAGGTGACGAAAATCTAATTGTAGATAATTTTTTGAATTCTCTATTTTTTGTTTCATTGTTGTTTTAAGTTTTTATTGCGTTCATTTGTCAAAACTAAGCATAGGAATATTTATACCATGTTACTATTAGTTTAATTTTATTTCAATGGATAACTTGACAGAATACATTTTTGTAAATAAATAGTTATGATTGTTCATATTTAATTTGGATATAAAATCGTTTCTACTTAAAAATTTTCAATAAAATTTAGTATAGGGTCGTTTTCAGGGGTGGTGAATCCAGTGCCATGCATAGATTTATTTTATTTTTAATCGCTAATATCAATTATTAAAAATTTACTCTCCAAAACTGACATAGTAGGCCTTGTATTTTGTAAAAATATGACGTTTTTTGCTCCAAAAATACTGTTTATCAATTTCTACAGTTTAAAACAATTCCTGTTAAAATCGCACAATAAATAAAGGTTTTACATGGGTAAGTCGCAAACAAATGGGTCATAGTGTTATAATATATCGACATTTTTTCGTTATTATTCGAATATTCGCACACTCCTTAAAATTTCTTTTATAAATGTATAAAAATATTCGATCAATCTTTTGAAAGGGCCAAAATAGAATTTGTAGTATAGTATATAAAATATATTATATATATTTGTGTTTTACAGGAAAAGCAATTGAAGTTTACGCGGAATAGGCGTTTGTGTAGTAACGCTCGACTCAGGCCCGTAGCCAGCCGTAGGGCCCGGGCCCCCCCCGAAATTCCGTGAACCCTAAAATTTTCCTAAATATGTGAATCATGTTTTAAAAATATGTCTATCGATTACAAGCCATATTTTTTATGACAACTTCACGCTTTACTGGTATTTATCCATTTCCGCCCCCCCTACCACCCAAAAAATTATTACTACGTTTTGGGCCCCCCCCCAAACCAAATTTCTGGCTACGGGCCTGGCTCGACTTTAAAAATTAATAGCAATGTCAATTTTTTAGATAAACAAATTCTATTTTGGCCCTTTCAAAAGATCGATCAAATATTTTTTATACATTTATAAAAGAAATTTTAAGGAGTGTGCGAATATTCGAATAATAACGAAAAATTGTGGATCCAGAAAGCCTAACCAGCTTAACGTTTGGACGGTAGGAGTTTCCGTACGCAAAATTTGGTTATTAAAAGTTAATAAAAATCAAATTTTAAGAATTACACATATAGATTTTTTTAAGCACTATAATGTGGTGTAATTTTTTTTCCAGTTCCGTCTTGACACTCGAAGAGGTCGGATGCATCAAGATAGACCCCTCCTAAGTAGCGTATACGATACAAACGTAAAGTACCAAAAACGAAACAAAGTATCCGGAAATATCGGTAATCGTTAATAAATAATAAATAAATACATAAATAAACAAACAAGTGCAAGAAGTGCGAAAATTGCGAGATAACGCCGTAAAAGTGTGCAAGTGAGTGAGTGATTGAGGCTGGGCCACAACGATAATTCAACCGGCGCACCTGGATCAGAGCGTTCCAAAAACCTGCAGGAGAAGGCCACCCCGCGAAAGACAAAGCATCAGGTTTATAGCCTAACAATCAAGCTAAGTAATTCTTCTAATTGCATGGCTTACCGTATAGTCGTTAAATGTTTATATAAGCATTTCACAATGTTGCAAAAAAAATCTAAGAATTCTATTTGTCTTAAAAATTAAATTTTAAAATAATAAGAACGTTTCCGTAACTGTTAAATAAACGGCCTCATTTTCTCATGGTAGACAAATCATAGACAACCATTGAAAAAGGCGTAAGTAAATAAACCTAATCAAGCAAGAAGACAAAAATTTATCATAAATAAATTTAGGGTCACAGCCATAAATCAAAGCCAAACTAATAAACAGAACTCAATAGCCAAGCAGGCCATGTGGCCACATTCCACTGCATACACTACAGGGCCGGCTCTATTGGTATTTACATAGTGATTAATTAATAAATTAATGGATTGATTGTTATTGATATAATGGTATTGGTATTGGTATTGACTAATTGATATTTATAATGAATTTATATAGATACGAATTTAACAGGAAACCAGGCAACAATTGATCATTGCAGAGGGCAGCGTGCGTGTGTGAAGGGAAATCAAGTGGGTGCGTCGCAATATTATATTATTGTATTATATAATATATATATTATATTATATAATATATATATTATATTATATAATATACACATAAGCTCACACAGGCAAAGTTTGGAGGATGGCGAAAGTAAATGGGCAAAGCGCTCACGTGAAAATGAAGTGGCAGGCCATCTATTGAGGCATGCATTGCACGCCTGACATTGGGGCCGTGTTTCAAATTTTGATGCGATACACCACAGGGCCGGCTTTATCTATTTTGTATATTAATATTTATATTTTTAATTAATTTGAAAAAAAAAGTAAGAAGGCAAAGATATAAATAAATGAAAACGGTATAAACACTAATTTAGCAATAAAATAAATAAAGAATATACAAGGTTGGTAGCCGGAGTAAGCAAAAAACTAACATACCCACCCCCATTCACGAATACCAATTGAATGGGGATACTACTAAGGCCTTGGTTGCGGAGGATTCCGGATTGTACTTAGTTTTGGGTCAGTTCAATGTCCTCCAAAAACCCTTCCTAAACTGGACGTATGGCCCGACCCGGCTGACAAAATTCCGGGAGCGGCCTTAACCTTTGACACTGTCATACACAACCTCCTAGGCGTAAAAACTTCGGATCCAACAAACACAGGTAATGCTGTGATTTGGCGGGATACGCAGGAGAACGGAAAGGGGGTAAAATAACCTCGGGAGATTAGTGGATGACAATATATCTGGGGCCTGCCATACGTTCCCATACTCATACTCATATAATGTGGTGTAATTTTTTCCTCTTAATGATGACATCAGTTTAAAGAAAGGTATCATTTACAATGAAAAACTTATAATAAATAAATTATTAATATTCAACTTTCACGTCAAAAAGTGATCGACAAAGTTTCAATTTTTGAATTTTTGTACCTAGGCTTTTGTCTTATAGCATAAGCAAGTTTTCGGAAAATTTTACGATGATCGATAAATAAACGTGGCGGTTGTTCGGAAAGTCTGCTTATTTCGCGTCTACTTATAAAATGACTAAACCAATGGTTTAAAAGAATACTTGTTATAATTTATTTATTCGAATAGTTCAAATATTAAAAATTTCAAATTTTCCATTTTTTTCGAACTGTGTTAACTATTTACTATTTCGTAAAAAAGTATTTTTTTTTAGATTGTTTTTTTCGGTTTCTAAATTATTTGAAAATTGACTCACAAGTTCACGCTTTTAATCGAAAATAATTATTCTGAGCCTGTAGAGCGAGAAAAAGGATGGTACAATTTTGGAAAACTTTTCATATGCTCATTTTTTGGGTACCCCATTTTGCCCCCCCCCCGCTGCCTTGTTTTGCCCCCTTTCACCTCCTGTCTGCTACCATAAAATTAAAAAAAACAGAAAATTTGATGTTATCAAACTTTGACCTCAAATAACTCTAGAAGAAATCAATTTATCGAAATATAATAAGAGAGCTTTTTTGTAGAGCGTTACATTTTATATATAGAAACTGCAATGTTCATTGCCATACATTACTTCGATACAGAGGTATAAAATTCCAAACATAAAATTATTTTTTCCCATGTTAATTAAAATTCAATTTTTAAAGGGTAAAGGGGTCGAGTGATAGCTCATTTTTAAGGCCTATCAAATACCTACATTTTGACGTATTAGTTTATAAATTGGGTTGGTTAACTTTCGAGATATTTTTTAATTTATTTATAATTTTAAATATTAATTTTAACACGCGTGGTTGTTTTGAGTGCCATTTGGACAATTTTTATTTGATTGCGTTGAAATTGAAAATCGGACAAAAATTGATTGCGTAACAGAACTTTCAACTTTAAAAAATGTCACCTTTTTGCCAAAAAAGGGATATTGTTTTGTTAAAAATAGGTTTTTTAAGGGACTGTCTTTATGAATGTGTATAATTTATTTTTTTTAGTCAAATTAAAGTATTAAAGTATTTTATCTACTCCTACATTGGCGAGATGTGACTTTATGGCGTTTTAGTCACGGGCTGAAGTTAGCTTTATTTTAAATTAGAGAAAAGTGAGGTTAATTCCGTTGACATTTGACAGATGTCAAATTTTAAACAAATAAAATTAGATTTAAATTCTTTTTTGTGTTCGTCGTAGATAAAGTATAGTATGCAACACGTTTTAGAAACTTAGCTAGACACTCGTTTTTATTAAACACTCGCTTGCAAGCTTCGCTCGTGCTTAATAAAACTCGTAACTAAAATGGCTTTATATACGAGTTTGAATGTTTGCAATAATAATAATAATAATATTATTCATTATTGAAAACATGCTACATTTTCAAACGGCGAAGTTCAGCGTGTTTAAAAGAAAAAAAACATCTGTTCTTCCACTTAACTGTATAACCATATATTAATAAACGTTTTTTTTTACCGTATCTCTAAAACAAAGGCTGATTGAGCAAAATAATGGTTGTTTTTGGAATTAACGCAACCAAATTACCCTAAAAAAATTACTGTCTCCCCTGAGCAAACAATAAATTTAATCTTACCATTGTAATTATCATTTAGACTATCATATTTAAAAAAAGAACGTTTACCAATGTGATTAAAAATAAAGCAAAATATTGTTATTTAACAAAAAATATATATAATAAGTTTACCTTAAGTCAGTTGATGAGTATATCAACAGAATATCAGGTATTGTGGAAGGAAAATATTTAAGAACAGCACCCTGTTCCCTCAATAAGTCATCTCTAGTCGATTTCATCATTTTTATAATGTCGCGCAACAACAAATCCAGATCCTCATTAAAATTGTCCTCTATTATTTCAGGGTTCAAATTTTGGTATAAAATTCTCGACCTGGACGTAAAACGCATAACATACTGTATAGAACGCATCGTTTTAAATATTAGATCTTTATTGTGATCTTTCCAGTTGCTTTGATCCACTATACTCTTTAAAACGCCTATTAGTTTTCTAAAAAAAATATTAGGTAGGTATTACAATTTTGTATATTTTGGACACTAAAGTTATTTTTCTTACTTGTAAGCTAAGGTTGCACTAAAACTCTCTTCAATGTACAAATCCAAAACAGGTTCAAAATGCTGATATTTCCAATTTCCTACCAAGCTAATGATATGTAGAAGACACTCAAAAACAAGGGTGTCGTATTCGTCAGTCTTTTGATTCTCCATTATTATGTTAAATAAGGCATCAAGAATATCTTGTAAGAATTTTACCACTTCCTCTCCATCCACTTTCATAAGGGCTGTTAGAGAGTCTCGTAATGTATCTTTGTTTGCAGACCAATTCAGTAAACCAAGTAGATCTACGTTTTGAGTTAACTTTGTAGAGCAAATGTTGCTGTAGATGGAGAAGGAATCTTTAAGGTTCAAACTAAGGCCACCGTTAGTTAATTTTGGGTTTTTAATGTTCTCCAATTTTGGAGGCATTTGGAAATACTCCATTGAATCCTCAGTCCATTTTTTGTGATCAATTTTGTACACCACCAAATCGTGTTTGGAGTCTTTTAAAGTTGTACCATTTTCTTGCATTAGGGTTACATAGGCCATGGCGAAAGGTTTTTCGTTTTTGTCTTTTGCTTCATTGGAAGAACGGTGTTTGAATATGAATTTTATATGACTAGTTTTAAACTCTTCTATGGGTATTGCCACTTTAAAGGTTTCATACCACTGGGGTTTGTCCTCGTGGTAATAAATTACAGAACGGTACTCGTTTATGTTTGAAATACCACCACCAACGCTTATAACACCCTAAAAATTAAAATTAGTTAAGAAATATTTTAACATTGATTTTCATTTAGCTGATTTTTTAAGACTTGATGCAAAGATTAAATATACACTTTATACTCTAAGAAAGAGTTTATTTAATCTTTGCTTGATGTTAATTTTCTTCCAAAACGAAACACTTTTGCATTATGAAGTATTAAAATGTTATTTTTTGACTCAAATGATTAATAAACTATAAGGATTGTTCTATTTAACTTGTAACTTACTGGTATTGGTTTTCCTGAACTGTTACAAACTTTAACAGTAACCTCGACATTTTTGTCACTTGATTTGTTTCCCTTATTAAATTCACCACCAACAATCGTCAAATACAAATCGTTTCTGACGTCACCGGGTAATATCACTTCGGGAAATCCCATTTTTCTGGATATCGACACATTGCCTAATACTAAATGGGCATTTTCTTCGCGAACCTATAATTTTTGTTTTTTTATTTTGTTTTTGTTTATTTGTTTATATTTACCTGTCGTAAGTCACCACGTAGCAGTTTCCAACTAACATAGAGATGGTGATTTTTACTATCTAAACTACTTTTGTTTATTATCTTTCTAAGGGTTTGTTCTAAATTATCTTTGTCACAACTAAAAAAAAAAAAATAATGTTGGCTTAATACCTGGGAAAACATGATAAGTCGATTTTTGTGAAAATAAATAAGATATTTGTGTTTAAGGTAGTTGTCGTGCTATAAGCATACCATCAGAAAATTTTAAATTTTTGTATACTTATTAAGGACATGACAATACATATATCCTTAAAATTTGAAGTCGATTGACCGTCTATAACCCGAGATAAATTCAATTAAAAATTGGATAATTAACATGGATTGTATAGGCTTTCTGTAGTTCTGTACCAGTTTCTTAGTTATACAGAAAAAACTAACTGTCAGAAGCTTTCAAAAAACTAACAGTGTTTTAATGTATTTTTGCTGAGTTTAAAAAAAAATATTTAAAAATTTTTGACCGTCCAGTTGTTTATAAATAACCGTTTAAAGTTCAACAATTTGTAAAAAGTATACATCACTAGTGTCAGATAAAAACAACTTGGCAACGCTGTACGAGTATAGATATTATTTCCGCAGTAAATTCAAATGACTGATTTAGTCTCCAATATAGCTATTGGTTGAGCATAAGCGACGTTGCCGGATTAAAACTTATGAAAATATTTGAAAGTATTACGTAAAGATAACGTCTCCAGGGTACAGTCTTGCGAACAAATTATGAATCATTTAGCTACAAGCTCGTATACTTTTACGGTGCGTATAATCTAAAATTTTTTGACAATATTGTACCACGACAACTACCTTAAATAGTGGTCAAATTTTTTGAAAAAAAAATATATTAAAAACTTGATTTACATTAGAGATATAAGACTTTAAACTGCAGTCCTGATAAGATATAATTTTTCCGATATGGTGTACATATTTTCTCTCGCCAATTATAGTTAGGGAGCTGGTGGCAGAAATTTTTAAGTCATTTGCTCGCGTGGCAGAAGTTGAAAATAATGAAGTTTGGATTATAAAAGTCACTAATGACAACTTCTGCCATACCATTATTGCTGCATTATTAATTAGTAGGTAATTAAATATGTAAAAAAAAATAATCCTTAAGTCATTTGCTCGCGTCTGGCATTTTTTTTTAACTTGAAGTCCCTAACAAGACTTTCAGATAAATATCATCGCCAGACGTGTATGTATGTCTCTGCATTAATGAGTATTTAATTTTTTTTTTTTAATTATGATATATAAAAATTTAAATGATTTGCTCGTCAATAAAATTTATACAAAATGTTAATTGGGTCATAAAAAAGCAAAAAATAAAAGTCTGCCATTTAATGTTTACTGCGATAATGAACGAAGAATTTTCAAAATTGTAAAAAAAAAATTAATATTAAGTTATTTGCTCGTGTCTGGCTCTTGGTTAAATTATTCTGTTGTATGTCAGAACTGTGAATATAACTATGCCAGACATGAGTATTGCTGATTTTTTATAGCCAGAACGCTTTTAGGTTAGGGTAGGTATTTTGAGAAAAGGCTATTTATTACAAGTGGTTTTTTTTTACTTATAACGTTAAAATTTGTAAGGTCATAAAATCATGTAATCTTTCGATTCCCCAAGTTTGGTGACCCTCAGTTACACTTCCGTATGGGGTCAGAGGTTTTATTACTTATTATTATTTTATTTTTTTTACCTATTATGGGCAATTAAATACAGGCATTTTTAAAATATAACCTTGAAATTTGAAATGAGGTCATGGGGTCATATGATCTTTTAACCCCCCAAGTTTGGTAACCCCCGTACAAACATGATATTTTTATATTATGTTAATTGAAATTAAAAAAAAATTAATTGTTAAAAGGTCTAATAAAGTGCGAAAGTTTTCAAATTTTAAGATAACATTGGAGAAGATATAAGAATGATAAATCCGGTTTTGCACCCTTTTCCGTTGACCAAATTATTGTTAACTTAGTAAAAATTATTAATACTTAAAAATAGAGTTCCTAAAAGCAGTTAGTTTTTTAAAAGGACCCAGAGATTACACAGTAGTACATCAAAACTCTATAACATATCATATACCGAAATTGCCACCAGCTCCCTAACTATTATACATACATTTTCATTTTAAGGTTAAATGATCATATAACCTTAAGATATAAATGTATGTGTCGACTTTAGAAGTGAAACTTCTTTTTGCACGGTAGGGCAAAATCATTTGATGTGACTAGCTATGGAACGCTGTGATGTGACGAAACCCTAGTAACGAGTCGCTGCAACGCTCGCCAGGTGCTTTTAAGGAGAAAAAAAAATCATAAAAATCGCAAACCGCAATTTGGGCAATTTAATTAAAAAAATTGCTCTTTAAATTTTAGCTATTTTGCTTCAGTAAGTAAGTAATATAATAAATATTAATTTTGTGCATTTTATTCATTTAATAAAATTGTTTTTCTACTCCCACCTTTAAAATGCCCATTATAGCACATGTTTCCATGACACTAAGTGACCTATTAAATACACATTGACAAGTTGTGGCTTTATGGCGCTTTAGACACGGGCTGAAGTTAGCAACAGATTTTTAGTCACAGGCTGAAGTTAATGTGAAAAATATTTTATTAAGTATCTCAATACAAAAATACAAAAGTATTAAATATATTTCTTGACGCCAATATTTGAAGATTTTAGGAACGTTTTTACTGACCTTTTGATTTCGCCGTAGTAGTGCAATTAACTAGATTTAACTGATAAAGCGTTAAATATTTTGCGTAAAGTGCCCATAAAAAATTCTCTTTTCTTTTACAGTGAAAAACTGCTTCGATATCGATTTTTAGAATATTTTCAAGGGATAAATTTTGATTTACACAGAAAAATTTGAGATTTGAACGGTAGATTCCCAAGTTAGAAATTCTAACAGGAATTCCAAAAAATACCACCGTCACTTTTTGCACCTTTAATATTTCCCGTGTAAGAATTTTCAATACTTTGTGATAATATTTTGCAATTATAGTTATAAAAAATCAAAGGAAAAAATATTTTCTTATCAGTATCAAGTATTAACCCTATTAAAAATGCCATATAGAAACCCAAATAAAAATCTATCTGGTTCAATATAGGAATTTGAAACAGGCATTGCACTATTGAACCAGATAGAATTCCATACCTGGAAAACCATACAGAAAAGTGATTTCTATATGGATTGCCATATAGGTTCATATTGCTCTATCTGGCCCAATATGGTTTGGCCGTGAAAAAATTATTACCATATAGATCCATATTTAACCATATAAGGGTTTTTCATTTAGAGCGTCAGAACTTTTAAATGAGATAAAAAAATAACTACATGTTATAATCCCGTAATCTATATTTTATTTTGAAGAACGATCGATGACATTATGTTTTAAATATAATATCGTTTAAATGTCCCCCTCGACTTTGCCTGACTGAATGCATTATGAAGGCCTAATTTCTACTATTCTTTTACAAATATCGCGTGGTATACTTTGAATAGTGCGTTTAATGTTTCGTTTAAGGTCGAGAATTGTTCGTGGCTTATTTTTGTAAACCTGAGATTTCACATGATCCTTTAGATGCACAAAAGTTGACTTATTTGCCAGTAAACCAGTTTTTTCTTAAACGATAAACCTTATATTTCTCGCAACTTGCAAAATGTTTGGCAAACCGAACATGCATTTTGATGGTAAATACGAATTATTTCTAAGCGTTAAATTGTTATCCATGGTTTTTCTATGTTGTTATCTGTCCATATTAATTTGACACAATGTACTGAACACATGTGTTGTCAAGATTTGACATTTACATTCCAGAGCAGCCCTATTTTTAGGGTTAAAGTTATGACGATTTAAATGGAAAACCCTTTATATACATTTTAAAATGGAATTCCATATTCAACCATATAGGGAAACCTATATGGAAAGACACATAAAACAGAAACCAGATAAATCCATATAAAAATCCCTAAGTTGTACATTTTAAAATGAAATTCCATATTAAACCATATAGATTCCAAAGTGTAAACCAGGTCGTTCCATATAGGACATATAGAACCATATAAATCCATATTAGTTTCCTTATCTGGATCAATATGGGTTCTATAGGGCATTTTTAAGTATCAATAATAGTTAAGTTTAATTAAAATAATAACGGGCAATGTTAATGGTGAAAATTACGTCAAAAATGTTTTTTTCTACTACCTTACTAGAAAACTTAATTTTCCACCCCCGAGCGAGGGAGGAAAATTTCCTCCCTCTTTTTTTTTTAAATTTATATTGGCAAGAGTTTTTGTACCTTGTCTAGCTTTATTTGATTTTGTAGGGAAAAGATTTACTCCGCGCTTGTCCAACCATTCTTTTAACATTCTTTTAACAAACTATATTCATATTCACAATTTTAGATTTTTAAGGAAGGAAATTAATTGCAACTATTAAATTTATGATAAACATTATGACAGCTTATAAAAACTGTTATGTTATGTTGGTATTACCAAAAATACTATAGCAACAAAGCGTTGTCAACATAACGTCGGCGACGCAAAACCTACCTACTTAATATTTTGTCATAATTTTATAGCCCCATACCGGGTAAGTAAAAGGAACCGGAACGCTTAAAATGTCTTAAAACCGTTAAAAGGTAATAGAAAAAATTATATACATACCTCAGGAGGAAAATGCATTTCCTCCCTTGAATATTTAATGCCCTTCGCTTCGCGTCGGGCATCAAACTATTCGCGGGAGGAAATGCAATATTTTCCTCCCATGGTATGTAAATAGCTATTTTTGGATGGATACTTTATTTTCGTATAGATGACGCTTTATACAAATATTTAATTTAAATCATTTTTTATGAAATATTAAGTATTTGTCGTAAAAAAAGTATAGTTTGGAACTCGTTTGTAAACTTTTCTAGGCACTCATTTAATTAAGCATTCGCTCGTGCCTAAATTCGTGCGTTTATCAAACTTGTACATAATATACTATTACTATGAGGAAAAATGTCTTTCTATGAAAATATTAAAATAGTATTATGCATTTACGTTTTTAATCCATTTTACAAATTAACCAACACCAGAAATTAATTTATTATGATATAATTTATTAATAAAGAAATTTCTCAACTGTCTATCATAAGTGGAGATTTTAATTTTAATTTTGCTTTAGAGGAAGCACAACCGTTGATTTTTTAGATCGTGAATTTAACTTAAAAATTAATAACAATCGTAATATATCCACCACAAAATCTGGTATGATTTCCTGGTATGATTGTAAATATTGCGGAGAAGTTATAGCGTATTGTAAGATACACGTTAATTTGTATTATTTAACTTACCTAATAAAAGGAACAGGAAACTCCTGCTCCAAATTGGAATCCAATTTACCGCTCATATAGGCCGTGATGTCCATCGCAGCTACCCCCAAAGGTCTGCGCATATTGTCGCTGTAGTTTTTTACACTTTTATTTAACACGCTGACAGATGTTCGCCTTAAATCCGTTTCTTTAGCGTCCATTGCCCCTACGCGTATCACCTGACACACAAAAAATATTTTTTCGCGTTCCAAATCTTTCTTACCAAGATCCTAAAAAAATGTAACAGTAAGGTTTAAAATGGGCAATATTTAACAAGTAATAAAGATGGAATTTTTTTCTTTAACAGGTATCTGTACATTCTCCAGAAAATGTGAAACCACAGATTTTCTTGTATCAAAATAAGTTGATTATCCATACCAAATATGCTTTGTTTAGCCGCTAGAGGGCTTTAAAGTTAGTATATATTTTTGCCAACACCTTTTAACTATTTTATAGTAATAGTTATTTATGTCATTAGGCCAAGAAGTGTTTTTTGTGCTGAGCTCATAGTTACCCATTAAGCAAAGCAAAAAAAGATATGCTGAATGTCATAGAACATTTTATCTTCAAGGCACAATTTTATTTGTTAAACGATACATAAAACGTAAATTTATTAGTAGTAAGCGAGGTTAGATTGATCTGACAGAAGTCAAAGTGGTAAATAATGAATTTTTACGGCCTAGGCCATAAATACCCTAACCCAATTGGTCTCATTTCTACTTGCCTACGCCATAATAAATAACTTTAGTAACAACCCTGCTTAAAATACCCCATAGAGACCTATACAAAATAATCTATCGGGCGCTACCGGATTCTATATGTGCATTTGTCCATGGGTTTTTCCGGATACAGCCCGATAGAAAATGTATAGGAAATTACCTATAGGCACACCATAACTTTTACATTTTCCCTATTGAGACCGATAGAAAATAACTCAATGAAGGATATATAGGGATATCCCTATAGAGCAACCATAAAACATTTGACAAAATTTTATTAAAACCTATAGGGTCCTATAGGGAAAAAACTAATTTCTACATTTATGTGTATTTTCCCCATTGAAACCGATAGCAAATAAATCAATGGTGGATATCCCTATAGAACAACCATAAATCTCAACTACGGGTCCTATACAAACCGATACACCCTATAGAAACACCATACATCCCGATACAAATATCTATCGGTTTGAACAGGGTCTCTATGGGGTATTTTAAGCAGGGAAGTGTTGACAAAAATAAAGATTTAATTATAGACCAATTAAAGTTAAAAGTGTCTATTTTCTATCTGTCCTTTTGTTTTGGTTATTAAAAAAAGCGCTTCAGAGGCTAAATGAAGCGTTTTTGAATTTACGTAAGATTATTTAAATCGTCTTAATTTGTCGTTATACATGTATTTTCCTATATAGAAAAATATTCTAATTCTCACTTACTGTAAACATAACTCTTAAATTGTACATTTGGTCCAAATCGCTCATCAGTCCTTCCTTATTCCATCTAACAACATAATTTTCAGTAAACGGCCTACATTGAATACCATCATATAACATCATTAATAATTCGGCGTCTTCGCTCAACTTAAAAGTAAAATTTCTCACTGTCACCAAAAAAATATTTGAATACTGTTGTATGGCAGTCTTTGGCGGTTCATCTTTAACTTCAATCTAAAAAAATATACTAATTATTACAACGTTTAAATCTTTAGAAAATTTGTTACATTTTCTCGCACTTTGGAACGCGAACTCATTCGTTCCGTGGCTTTTTTGTGGTGGTAAAATAACTGAAGGGTACTAGTTTCATCAGGGTTTATAATGTTGCCTTCTTTATCACGAACAACCAAATCTAACCCCAGGGTTTTATTACCCTCATCTATGGCTTCTGTTGCTTCTTTCGTAACTCTTTTTAGCTCATCTATAGGCAAAGTACCGCTTAATATTTTACTCCTTTGAGTCAACAAATCGTAGATTTTATTCTTGATTTCTTCGAATTTGTTACTTTGATCCTAAAAAGTGTTCATTTATAAAGGTTACTCTTATGTTAACATGGGTGAGAGATATGAAACCTCTCGCTATTAGTGATATTTCCCGAACTGTGATTTTTTACTAATAATAATAAATCACGAAACAAAACTGTTACCAACAAATATCAGTGATTTTACAAAGTCGTTAATTCAGCGGGTCGTTGTTATCATTAGAGAAGATGTCTAAATAAATGTATATTTTTTGTTAGCAGTTGTGAGGTACTTACAACGTATAGTGTCTTCCAGTGAACCCCCCATTCTCTGAGTACCGATGATATTTCGTGAGTAATGGGGGGTTCGTGAAAAATAAAGTTGGGAGTGGGGCCTTTCGTGTCGACCGATATGCATGGTTTTATGTGGACGTAGCTTTTGGGGAAGATGCCCTTTTCATTGTGATTAGTTGTCACGTAGCCGTAGTACCAGCCGGTTTCTTCCAATAGGATGTGGACGGTTTCGCCGACGAGCAGGTTCAGTTTTAGCTCGCCTTCTTCTTTAAAATTGTATATAACTGGAAAAATAAAATACAATAAAAATCCAAAAATTAAACATAATTCATACATTCAATTATTATAATTTATATGCTTAATTTTATAATCTGGTTTGACAATGGTTCATTCTTACTGCAGTTTTACTTAATACCCCATAGATGGGGCACACTTAGCATTTAAACAAGTTTAGATGCTATACACTTTTTTATAATATAGTATTATACTTTATTATCTTTTAAACTGCACCACTATAATAGTGGTGCAGTTTAAAAGAATTTTTAATTTTAAGTGTCAATACTTTCTTCGAAAAAGATCTTCATTAAATATTCCTGAATGATAATTTGTAATTTTTTTCGTCCCTGACTTTGCTACGCCAAAGTATGCAATAAAATACCAAGGTCGATCATAGGTAGATAAATTACAGTGAATTATCGGTTTGGTATTACAAAAAGTGTTTTTAGTTTTCTATAGTATTCTGAAAATGGATCACATCCACATTTTATAGCGGAGAAATAAATCAAAGAGATGGGCATAACATGCATTTTATGACAGTGACATTGGCAAATTCTATTTTTTTTGTTTTTTTTTATAAATTAAAAAAGTGTAATAATTAAATTTTAATCTTTACCTACAAATGTTAAGAAATTCACAAATACCTTTGTTATAATTAATAAAAATACAGGGTATTTTATTAAACTGCAAACTATTTCATTATAACATTTAACAAGTTTATTCAAATGAACGAAATATTAAAACATTTTATCAGCCTTACGATTAATAAATTAATCTAAAAAACAATGGAAAAACCGCAGCGGAAACAGTAAAATAAAATATTGTAAAAGCAATTACAATTACCTACACCGTATAAAAATTGCCAACACAAAACTGCGAATGTCTTTAATTAATTTAAATAATAGTCGACATTGCATTTAGCCTGGAATTTCCTCTGTTCCGTGTATTGTTAATTTAGTAAAAGTACAAGCAAAAATCTTGGTACAGTTAGAAATGGAATTGTGCTTTTTTGATAAAAAAAGTTAATATTGATTTTAGCTACCTATGTATTACAATCAAAAATACTAAGATAAATTTATTTTATTTAAAAACAATAAGTCAACATTAAGTGGGGATTTTTTAATAAAATAACCGTCGTTACTGACCGTGAGATGATACATACCACAATGGAATATGTATAATCATGGTAATTGCATGGTTAGGCTTTATAAGATGTACTCGAGTACCAGATCTGGGACATGTACAAAACTATCATTATTCTGCTTTGCAAAAATAAAACGATCGCATGAATGAAACAAAGTAATTTTAATAAAAAAGTATGGGACTACCTTAATATTATAATATTATGCTAAAGTGAATTATTATTATACATGGTGCCATGTAATAAGTTGTCATACCTTGAGGGAATAATAGTACATGCCAAAGTAAGCAAGTCATTCGTTTAAACCATGACCTACATAACGTGTAAGCGGTTGGGGTCGACGGACTAAGTAGAGTCGGCCAGTTGTTTAACTGTGGTTCTTATCGGTACTGCTGTCGATGGGCAGGCCGACTATATTTTAATTGTCAACAGCTTTTGCTGACCATTGGCTGGTTATTTAAAAACAATAGCACTAATGCAAAACGGATAGAGGAAAATCATCCCCTAAGGTATGAAAACTTATTACATGGCACCCTATACAGTATTATAATACTACACTGCGCGTCAAAATTAACGCATAATAAGTAAAAAAATTCTAACTCTAAAACGCCTTTACTAATCTTTATGAAATTTTGCATAAAAATACTTACTTATGTATATCTCGGTTTACGTGTTCGAGGGTTTTTCGATAAAAATATTTTTATAGCCCTTTTATTAAATAATAAAAAAACGTTTGAAAAATAAGTTTTAGGGATTTTTTTTAACCCGTAAATAAAAAATATGCTGTTAAAGACCGTTTTTTGTTAGTATACCCTGAAAATTTTGTACAAATCAAACAAACAGTAACGAAGATACAAGTGCTTCAAAGTCGGTAAAAATGATTTGATTATTTTGCTGAAAAGTGATCATTTTTGACAACTTTAAAGCGCTGTATTTTCTTTACTGTTTGTTTGATTTGTACAACATTTTCAGGGTATACTTACAAAAATACGGTATTTAACAGCATATTTTTTATTTACTTAAAAAAAATTCCCTATAAAAGTTTTTTTTCGAGCGTTTTTTATTATTAAATAAAAGGGCTTTAAAGATATTTTCTCGAAAAACACTTGAACACGTAAACTGAGATATAAGTTAAAGTATTTTTATCCAAAATTGTATAAAGATTGGTAAAGGCGTTTTAGAGTTAGATTTTTTTTTACTTATTATGCGTTAATTTTGACGCGCAGTGTATTATAATAGTATATTATGAACTTACATTTTGAATAATTTATGTATTACAATAATACAATAATAGCGAGAATTAAATTAAGCTGATTTTTAACCAAATTACAAAAAACAGTTACTGTAGAAATCAACTTTACAGTCAAGTTGCAAATATAATAATTAAGATAAAAAAACATCGTACGTAATTAGAATTAGAATTTCAAATATACGGTCTCCGGCCGGAGAGTCAATTTAACCCGGATAGGCCGGATAGTTACCGGATATCCGTTTCACCTCTAATAATAATGGATAGATCATTAAAAAAATGGTTATTATCTGGTTATATTTAGAATTATAAAATTTAAAATTCCAATGCAATAAAAAAATGGCTCACTTATTTTGAGCACTAAAAATGTCGACGATTTTTTGAGTTAAGATTTTTTTACAAAAACAGAGTTTAGTATTTTCACAAAATTAATAATAAATAATGACAATTCCAAATAGTAATCTAGAAACATTTAAATAATAGTATATTATTATACGAAAGATAATGCAGGCTTTTATAAAACTTGTTACATAATATAATATTTTCTACTCCTACCTATAGGTATATATATAAAACACACATACCATACAAGCTATGATTTTAAGGTTTCACGGGCTGAAGTTAAATTTAAGTGGATCGTTAGAAAGAGCTCGTACCTAACTAAAACTCATGACTTAAAATGCCGTTTATCAAACTTATAGGTAATTTTATAACTATGATTATTATATAAAAAGAAAATGACTACACACTTTGCGTTAGAGATAACAAATATTTTTCTGATTGTTTTTAAAGTTAAAGAATATCTAGGCAATATTGTAAAAAGCTAAAATCCTCTAAGGGTTGACTTTTAAAAAATATAAAAATACCAAATCAGGGTTGGAATAAGTCATGACTTAAAGTCGAAAAAGTTAGACAAAATTCCATAATGTACTACAGCATCGTTTCTTCCTGTTTTTAAGTTTAATTAATTAATTGATGACGTTATAGAAAAAAGTTATTTGACTTAATTTAAGAAATATTTAATTAATTCATGTGAATTAATTCGTGCTAACCCTGTACCAAATAAGAGATATGATATTGACAAAAAATACAAAAAATAGATTGTTACAAAAAAGTCATTAAATCATTAATCAACTAATTCAATTATTGTAAAAACATCTCGTCATTTGAAATTGAAAACTTAATATATATTATAATTTTGTTTTTCGTAAAATTTAAATTTTAATTAAAAATACTGTTCCTTTCCAAAAAAAATCCAAAAATTAATCCCAGTAAACCAGGATCTTCCTTAAGAAGGAAAACTGTGTCAACAACTTTAAACATTAATTAACTTAAATCATGAAACGAAAGCAAGAATGCAGTAGCTGTGAGTAGTGGCCAAAAAAATTTGCCTCGCACAGATGTTGTTCGATTGACCCGCTTTGGCCACCTTCTTGATCCGACCCAGTGGTTAATAAATGGCACTTGCAGATCGCCAGGCTAATCGACTCTTATATAATAAATAAAGCGATGCCCACACACGACACCATTTCTCCTGTAACATAGTATACTTTATATGCATGTATATTTACGAAAAAGCCTTGTCTGCTCTGTTTGTTTTTGTGCATAGTTCAGTTTTGCTTAATATATTCCTTATGCAACGTTTGAAAGGGATTCCGTGAAAATTACTTAATTAATTTCAAAGAGAAAAATAGTAATTTATATTATTACTTCTTAAATATAAAATGTTATGGTTTTGATTCATTGAACCATTTTAGTTGTTATTATGAATCTTTTAAAGTAATATTAAACATTAATAAATCTTATGATAATAATATTATATTAATTATAATTATTAACACCGAAAACCTTAAGACGCGTTACCAAAATGACATTTTAGAATTCAATTTTGAAAAACTAATATTTTAGCTTAGATGTGTCGTTAATTTATTTATTTTTGGTAATATTCAAAATCTTTTATCCATCATTTTCTGAAATTTCCATATTGTAAAATGAAATATTTACTAAAATCTAAACTAAAATTAAATTAGAATTATTGTAGGATATACAAACAAAGAATACTAATTAATGTTAATGTTAAGTATAGGAAGTTGACAATGGCCTGTGTGGCATATTAAAAAAATACTTATTTTTATAATTATCTCCTTTTTTGTGTTGACAAGACATACATAAATGTACATTTATCTGATGAAAAATAAAATCATATTAACTATGTAGTAATAGTAATAGTAATAGTAACTATGCTATAGATAAAAGTCTACATTTTTATTTAGCATGTCATTATATTGTCGTAATGAGCAATATTGCAATTTATTATTTATCTGCAAAACTGGTTTAAAACTTTATAAATGAAATCAGTTTATTTATTTAAATAATATATTAATTAAGTATGGCGATTTTTTTTTTAATTTTATTATAACTGCAAATTAAAATGTGTCAGGAAAAGTTAATATAAACATTAAAATATGTAAAATACGCTAAAAAAGTATCGGGTTTTTGCAACGCGCGCGCCATCTGGTGGACTTCAAAAGCATTGCGTGAATTTTCAACAATACATTTAAAGCATACGAACGCACGTTACTTTTTGTTTTACGTTACAAGGAAAAAACTAGTTTAGT